TGAATTGCAAACTCCAGAAAGTAGTAGATTCTAAACTTGTTTATTATAGACTTCTATATAGGTATAATTAGAGTCTGATTCGATACTTTTATATATACTCAAAATGTTAGACAACCTCTATATTTTTGCTTTATGTATGTATTTACAAATAGATCTAATAAAAACTTTATCGGTTTTTCTAGCTAAGTTAAAAAAAAAAAAAAAAAAAACTCAAAAATGTCTATATAGCTTTTAAAAATAATTTGAATAACCTTCTGATCTTAAAATTAAATTTAGATTAGTATAACAAAACTGCTTTTAGATATTTACAAAATAGTTAAAAAAAAAAATTTTAAAAATCTTTTTTTAATTTTTTAAACTCAATTAATTCAAAAATATTTATTATTTAAAAAAAAACATTTTTTAAAGTTTCTAACGATCATTTGTATCAACCTAATACCAAAAGCAAATTGAAGATTCAAGCTTAGAAGTCGATAACAACTTAAATTTTCCTTAATATGAACTGTTGTTAATGAAGTTTTTAAATATGATACACCGAAAAGCAGACATTTTGGACAGTTTGCAAAAAGATCAAGCCTGGTTTGCTACTATCTTTTGGGTAGACTTCTCTTTGCATTTGGCATCCAAACTGGAGCAGTTTCTGAAAATAGCAAGTAGAAAGTAAACTAAAATTTGTTTGAAAATGGATGACTTTGAAGAACTCTTGGAACAACACATCTTGGTTAGAAAACTCACAGAAATTTGATATTTTCTTGCTGTTTTTTGGCTTCAAAATTTTCGACAAAAAGTGAGAAATTCAGCTTACTCCTCCAAAAGATTAGCATTATTTATCATTTCTATATTAGGAAACTAGATAATAACAAATCAGCATGTATTACAAAATGAATGAAATGATAACAACAAGTCATATAGATTAAAGTTTTTATACTTTCGGATGAAGATATAGATTTAATTAGAAAAGTTAAACAAAGTGTTTTAAGATATATAATGTGTTTCTTGTATATAATTTTTAGCCTCTAACATGAGTTATAGTGCATCTTGTTTTAGTTTTATATTTTTGTTTTTGTTAAGACTCTCACACTTAATAGTAGATCGTTACTCTGTATAATTAGAAGTTTTTATCTAATTAGCAGTTTTTCTTCTTTTTAGCGATAGTTTCTTTTAAGTTTTAGTTTGGTTTTTTTTTATATTCTTTAGTATTAGTACCTGTTTTCTTTGATGTATTAGTTTTTATTACATACCTCTTTTTTTTATTCCCTATTCTCACTTTTTTTTCTTTTTTTCTTCTTTATAAAAAAGTGTTATCAGTTTGGTGGCATTCTATTGTAGGGTGGAAATCTTTGATGAGGTGGTACAACAGCCAACTGAGAAATCTAAAGGAAATAAGTCTAGAGTGAATTTTAGATCTCTGAAGGTGGTTAATTATTTGCTAGACAGGTCGCATCTAAGCAAAACACAGTGGTTTAATAGTTTGTCTTGATTGCAAGTAGGTGTTTCAGCATCTGTGAGATACACTGTGAGTGAGTTTACATTTTGGTTAAAACACTATAGATTTTAGATTTCTATGCTGATGTAGAAATAAAAGACTGTTTTCATAATAAAGTAAATAGGATTGCCAAAAAAAAAAAAGTTTGTATTTATTTATAATTTATAGTATTATAAAATTTATCTAAAAACCAATTTTTTACAAACCTTTTTTTTGGTAATTTGGTTTCTTTCTTTAATATCAAACCTATATAAATAGATTTTTTATAATTTTATTTAATCAGATTATATATAAATCTATATAATTATAGAGTGTGACAACTTAGTAAAGTTGGTAAATTGTCCTACCCCCAAGTAGCAGGACAAGAGTTTGAATCCTACTGGTAATGAAATTTGAATTTTATAAAATGTGTTATAGCAGACTGTGTGTAATCTGATAGATCAGCATCTGTAACCATGGTCATATTAGCTAATATTAAGAGATTGCAAAATAGTAGTATAATGCAAGAGTTACATGAAACCCAAATGATATATCTGAGTAAATCCAGGAGATCAGAGTATATAGAAGCCCGTTTGGCAAGTCCTGAATAGAAAAGTAACACAGATCTTTGACAGTACTATATAAAGGATAATTATTAGCAATCAGATCTGATAGTAAACTGAATAAGGACCAGGTGTTTGGCAAGGTACTATACTAATTAGGCTATATATATACAGAAAAAAGAATTTATCAGAATACTAGAGGACACAAGTCCCTTTCGGACCATCTGGATTAGGAGTTTGAGACACTGTCGATATGCTAAAAAAGTTGGTAGTAGTTCGTAAAATGAGTGCTGAGGTTTGGATGAACTTTATAAGGGCAGAAGTAGGTAATGATAGTGGTTTTGGCTTGCAAGTACTTATTTTCAGACTTGGCATAAGTTACCAAAAATCTAAGTTAATTGGATTGTAGGTATAAAAAGCTTTAGCAATAAAACTTCGAGGATAAATTAATCCTAAGACTATAATAAGCATCTGGAACTTCTCTACTAACAAATGTAGTAGAAATATCCTAGTGACACAAGGGGGATGTGTACATTATAGAGGGTTTAAATAGGTAATCATCTAGTTGGGTTAAAGGTATAGTAGCTAGTATAGAACCTATGATGTAATATTAATATGTGGACTACTTAAATAGGCAACCAAAAGTTGTATGTATAGCTAGTTGTACTCTCTAATATAATTGAGGTTCTACTGTGAACTTCCTGCCCAATATACTTGAATAAAAATCCCAAAACCAAAGAGGCTAATTAATTAAAAAAAAATCCATATAATTAGTTTTGTATATACAGTATATACAGTTGTACCTAGATTATATCTTCCCTTTTTTCCAGAGCATTTTTTGAGATATAACTAAGGTAGGGATATAACTCAATATATAAAATATATAAAAACATATAAAAAAGAGGAAAATTGTTTTGCTTAAATATGGAAATATAACTCAGGTTGGGATTAGGGCCGATGATTTTCTGCGGTGATATTTATTTATTTTTAAAAATAAATAAATATCACCGCAGAAAATCATCGGCCTTGGTTGGGATATAACCCAGTGGAGATATAACTCAGATATAACTATAGTTTATTATATATATTATATACAAAACTTTAATACAGTTAACTTTTCTAAATATATACTGTATTTTCTAAATATAACTTTTAAATCAAATTTGCTTTATAAATACAAAACCTTTTTAATCTCAAATTCTTTAAATATAACTCTTTAAATAAAAGATTTTATTTTTTTTTTATATTAATTAAATGTTTCTATACCCCAACAGCTTGCACTTAAAGTCAACTGTATATGTTTTTGCAACTAAAATCTAAAATGCATTACAAATAACTTTTATCCAGGGTTGTCACGTTTATATGTTTTTTCTATTGGCTTCTAATTCTATTCATTTTTTGTATTTTTCTATTGTAAATTTTAAGTATTAAATTTTACTAATTAAATCTAAAAATATTTTAAATTTATTACTTTACTAATGCTCTAACAATATATGTTTAAATAATTACAAATTATTAAGAAAAAATTTTTTTTTTTATATAAAGACTAAAAATTGAGCTTTTGTTCTATTGTTCTATTTGCCAACACTGAATCATATCGATATGCGCAACTAAATTCATACAATCGCCACTAGAGACAAGGATATCCATTTATTGCCAAACCGTATAAAATCAAATAATAACGATAATTTGACGACGAACATTAGGGTTATAGATCAGAAGTCACTATTGGTTATTTGTTATTAACATTATTAACATCAAGTTTAGGCCGGAATTTATTATAGATCTGCGCAAATCACAAGGTGGCTAATTAGCGGTCCAACATTTCATTTCTCCAGTTTATTATATTGTCAACCGTGTTTCAGTTTCTAAGATTCATTTATACAATGAGTAATTCAACGAATTATAGCTCTTACACTCTTCAATCTTCCGTTAACAACCATCAGCAATCACAAACATTTGCGTACTCGCAACAGCACCAGGTACCGCCTTATATGCACCAGTACATGGGTGCTACTCCATATTATTCTTACAATCAGTCCTTAGCTATGCTTCGGCCACAAGTCGCGCCCCTTCATTACGCGGCACCTTACGCAACGTCTGATACTACTTCTGTATACAAATCATCTTATCCAACTTTTAATACACCTATAGCTCCACGAAGGACAACGCGACAAGGTATATTCTATTCACAGCAACCAAGCTAAGAGCCTTAATTTAAGCTCTCAGTTCTCACCACAAAGCGATTGAATTTCATTGATATAGTTTATGAAGTAGCAAAGCCGACGAAATCGGCTTCAAGGCGCAAATTTTGGAGCACATATGCTAGTCGATTAAGACAAGGTACTACCGCTTTAGTACTTCCTGTTCAACTTAGAGGCGGAAAGAAACGTCAGCGTGGTGGAGGGCACAGCACTGAAGATTCCGATGGCATAGGAGAATTATTTGAAGATGATGATAGAGGAACTCCTCCAGCGGAAAAACGCCTAGCAGTTGGGTTTACTACTGTTAACGGGGAAATTCCAGTAGTAAAACGAAAGAGAAATAGGACTAGACATATATACAAGTAAGTCTTATATTTTGTTTCATGCATAAATCACTGCTAATTACCTTTATGAACTTTTCTTTAGCTCTCAGAAGGAATTAGATCGCAATGCTGAACAAAGAGAGATTTTAATTCCTATTAGATTAGATATTGACTTGGACACGCATAAATTGCGGGATACATTTACATGGAATCTTAATGGTAAAGACGCATTATGTCTATAGATTCGTGATTAAGTTATATAACAAAAAAGGAACAAAATTCATTAAAGTAATCTTTCTTTTAGAAAAATTAATTGGTCCTGAACACTTTGCTGAAATAATGTGCTATGACCTTGATCTTCCAATAAATGAATTCCGTCCTCTTATCGCGGACTCTATACGCAAACAAATTCAAGAACATGAACCTGTAGCGGAAAGTAATGTCTCCACGGAAGATACTAGGGTTACAATTAATGTGTGTCATCTTTATCTATTTGAAATAGATGGTGGTTTTACCAAATGAGTTATTAATAAAAATATTTCAATATTCAGCTTGATATTCATGTTGGAAGACTTAATCTTCGTGATCGGTTCGAATGGGATTTGAGTTCGGATCTGACTCCAGAGGAGTTTAGTAAAATCTTAGTCGCAGATCTTGGAATTGGTGGTGAATTTGTTACGATGATTGCGCACAGTATTCATGAACAAATATTGAAATATAAAAAGGATATAAAATCTGATGATTCGGACAATGAAAGCGCTCCATTAAAATCTGTTTTTCGTGCATATGAAGATGCAGATGAATGGAGTCCTGTATTGAATTTATTATCCAATGAAGAGTTAGAAAAGATTAGATTGGATCAAGAAAGGGATATAAGGTATGCTTTCGAACAATTTTTTTAATTGAGACGCCATATATGCAATTCGTAACCTTTTCTTATCGTTCTTGGATAATGTAGACGGATGCGAAGAGCAACAACGCGTAATATTGCAAGATCAAAACCATCACGTTCAACGGTAACCAATGGAATTGACCATTCATCGATTTATATAAATCAGCGGACTCGAAACGACACAAAATTAACGTTAGATGAATTGGAAGTTTGGAGGTGTATGCACTGTGGCATTGATGGCCACACTACACCTTTAGTAAGGAAAGGCCCAGATGGTGGCAAAGTTTGTATCTTTGTAATTACCATTTTTTTAATGAACACTATTATAGTTGCATTTATTAACATTTTCCATTGCATTCTTTTAAAGTCACTTTGTAATGCGTGCGGTTTGGTGTGGTTAAACAAAGGTGAACTGCCACCACACCGCAAGTCAATGTTCAAAAAGGATGAAATATGAAACCTTAAAACCTAATTATGGATTTGCAATATCATTTCATTCTTGAAATTAAGCGAAATGTAGAAAAAAACATTAAATCCCATGTATATATGTAAATATTAATTCCGTTATCGACTTTATAATGCATTTTTACTTATTAAAATTTTTACCTACAATTAAACTTCGATTTTTATCATTTATTGTTGCATGTAATAGTTTAATATTTTATTACCAAAAAATATGCATGGTCACTTGGTTAATTTAACACGTTTTACAAATTCACTATAATTAAAATTTTTCCTTTTAATGTAGACTAACTATTAAACAACCAAATTTTTTTATTTGAGTTTGCGATTACTTAAACGGCCAATCAGTACGAAAAGAATAATTGTATATTGAGTAATATATTCTTTAGCATAGAAAAGTATCGCTTGAGAAAGCACAGCTTTTGTGATCTGTGCTTGTATTCCCTGTTAATTAAATTTAATAAATAAGATAAATAGATAAATAGAAGAAAAATACATGGCTTTTTTTTTTTTTTTTTTTTTTTTTTTTACCTTGTACCATCCCGGGAACCCATCAGTTTTTAGGATGTTTAGCAGTATACCAATTGCACCTTTATTTTTAACACTATTAGCTTTTCTGTTTTGACTATCAACGTCAAACGCTTGCTTATCTCCTTCGTCCTCAACACCGTCAACGGCCACTTTTTTTTTTGGTGGTTTCCATTGTAGCCTTACTTTTGCCATAATGTATGGGTAGGTAACCACAGTAGCAATAGTTTTACTGAGGGCACCCAGACAGAAGATTAGGCCAGGTGTAAGATTAAAGTTCCTCTTTAGCATTATATCTTTGAACCTCTCGAAAGCACCATAAGTTATAGCAGGGTTGATACATAACACCAATGATGGCCCTAATCCTTTCCACAATCCAGTGATTCCATCTTCGTGAGTAATTTCTTTTGCAGTATTTATAAGGCTTTTACGTTCAGTGATGCTCGAAGTCTGTTGCCGTGTAGTTACAACAGACACAGGAATTGTAAAAATTTGGGCAAGTGCACCTGCAAGGGCACCGAGTATGAGCTCTTCGGCGGTAGATAAAGAACTTGTAGAACGCGCTTGTTGATAGCGAGTACGAATGAAAGAATACCAATAAAAATATGTAAAGTTTGTCGAGGCTACTCCGATAAGACCAGAAGGTAATCCCGTATAAAGCCCAAGTATTCCTTCGGCCTTCAGCATTTTACGAATCGCATCTATTGTTGACTCGTAGTAGTCATCACATATATCTTTTGAATCTTTTGATTGCACTTGAAGTCGAGTTTTTATGCTGTTTGATCAGCAATGATAATATAAATATCAAGTAAATATCTTCAAAAAACATAAAAAACTTGAACATTCTTAATTTAAAGTATTTAATAATACCCTCTGCAACAAAATAAGGAATACCCACATATCCAATGGATAAGTTATAGATAATGCGAATATAGCGCCCAAAGATCCGGCGACTGCATTACCAAGCGGTGATAATGGTGGTGGTTGAGTTACTTTTGCCATAACGATAATTGCTCTGGTTCGATTTTAATATATAATGAAGTACGTACTGTACATACGTACGTACGTATGATATCAATATCTGATATCGATATAGAAAATTTTAATTATTGATATCTTTGTCCTACCAGCTGCAGATTATCGAACTAAGATTTTTTGATATCTCGCTTAACGTTTAACAAGTCGATTTGATCTAAATTCAAGTCATGAACATGAGTGACTCGAGAAATTTCACCCGCTCCACTTGTGAAGGTTATAATCACGCATTTTGGTTAAAGTTTTTTATCTTTCGCAATACTTGAGCCTGAAAAAAGGCTTTATTTTATTTGTGCTAGTAATTGGACCCGGGTGGGTGCCACCTGGGTCACCCGTTGTGGAATAGATTAGTGGGTTAGCAAACGACCTGCAGATCGCCGCCGACTATAGTTTGGGTTTGTCTCCCAAACTCAAGCCCAAACTATTACCTCAAAAACTTTGTTAATGATGTTTATTTAAACAAATGATATAGCTATATAATATATTTATTAACTCTCAACCAGATCGCTTTGTTAAGTGTGTGCTACGTTGGGGTATTTCAAATACTAATTAGTCAAAATTATGTAATAATGATACTACTATTAGATTTCATGCATAAAATTGATCAACGAAATTTACTAGTAAATTACTATCAAAGAAAGCGTTCAAAAAATTGCATCAATTCGTGTACTAGCGATTTTTTTCTAGTAATTTTTGTAGCAAACAATTGCCATAATGTAACCCAAAGAAGTTACGTTTTAAAAATTTTAATTAATCAACCATTTTAAATTATTACTTTTTTTTTTTTTGTTATATATGCTCTAGACAAAAGATATGTGTTTATTACGAATCGGCCTTAATAACCAAAAATTTAAAACTGTAATTGTATAAAAGAAATGTTTCATCATATTGTATATAAAGTTTTATTATAAGCTTTTGTGATGGTTTTAATGTTGATGCTCTTTAAGATCAGCCTTTGTTATTATATACTGTATATATTATAACCAAATAAATTGTAAGCATTTGTTTTGAATTGGTTTTGTTAATTGAAAATTTAAAACTGTAATTGTGTAAAGAAACATTTTATCATATTGTACATAAAGTTTTATTGTAAGCTTTTGTGATGGTTTTAATGCTGATGCTTTTTGAGATCAGTTTTGTTATTATAACCAAAAAATTCTAAAAATTTAAAACTAATCATTAAAAAGAGTTTTTTGTTATATTATAATTAAAAATTTTGATGATATTTTTAATGCTAAATCATTTTAAGATTTAGCTTTTGTTACAGTTAGATGTTTAACTAAAAAAAATATATATATTTGTTTCAAATTAGCTTTTATTAATAAAAATTTTAAAAATATAGTAAGAATAACTTTGAAAATAGTAGGGGGTGTGGCTATTTAGTGTAGTTGATAAGTTGTCACACCCCAAGCGGCAGGACAAAAGTTCAAATTCCACTGGTGACAAAATTTGAATTTGCGGAAATGCATTATGGTAAAACTGTATGATATATCGATTGGGTAAGCATCTGTAACTTTGGTCTCATCAACTCATATTGAGAGGTTGTAGAATGTAGTGTAATGCATGAGTTACATGAAACCCGAGTGAAGCAGCCAAATAAATCTAAGAGATCAGGGGATATGGAAGCCTGCTTGGAAAGTCCCGAGTAGAGAGGTAGCACAGATTTTTGACAGTACTATATAAAGAATTATCATCTGGGGAACCAGACACTAGCAGTAAACTGAACGAGGACTGAGTATTTGGCAAGCACTACACCAACCAGGCCGTTGGACTAGCTGGAGGAAAAAGTATTTATTTAGAATATCAGGTGATGCTTACTGATCCCTCCTGGGCCATCTGAATTGGAAGTTCGGGTACCGTTAGCTGGCATTGAAGTACTGTTGATAGTCCGTAAAGTGGGTACTGGGGTTTGGGTGAACTTTGCAAAGGCACAGAGTAGGTAATGGTAGTGGAGGTAAAAAGCTGCAAGTACTTGGCTGCGGCCTAGGCATAAGTTACCAAAAATCTAAGTAATATATGTATAAAACATGGACTGCTCTAGTAGGTTTACCACAAGGATAAAGTAGTTCTAAGAGGTCTTAGTGGCAGTTCCCTCTTTGGAAAGAATATTTGATGGCGCTAAGTTGATCAGAGGGTTTAATTGGGTAACTCAAGTAACAGTGGGTTATAGGTATGACATTTAGTGTAGTTCATATAGGTTACATATGCAAGACTGCTTAAATAGACAACCAAAAGTTGTATATATGGCTAGAATGTATTCTCGTTAATGTAACAAAGTTAGGGGCAACCTATGTGGTTGTCTGGCATTCGATCCAAAGTTTAATAAAACGTGCCAGACCCCAAAGTGGTCACCTTAATATTAAAAAAAAAATAAATAATATGTAAAACATAGAAATTTTTATTTATATAATTCTATAATTCTAAATATATAATTATATATATATATATGTTGTGCCTGAGATCGATGCTTGCGTCAGGTGACAGCTGACATGCCTCAGATATCATTCGTTATATGAGGTGCCTCATACAATCTGGTGTATGTTAATTGTCATCCGATGCATCTCTAATATAAATTTTAATCATAGATAATGAATATTCTTATAATATAAAAATATGTAGTATAATGAGGTATCGAATAGAAATACATGAAAGATGAGGTAATCAAAGTCAAAATCAAAGTTAAAGTCAATTAATGATAAATAGAGATCTCCTTTAGTATAGGTGGGCATATATAAATTATTACAAGATTATAATATATAAAACCTAACTAATTTGAGTCAATTTAAACTCTAACCTTAACCCTATCCCTAATAATTTATAAAATTACTTAAATTAGTTTAAAATAATTAAGTTATATATGTTATAATTATATAATAATTATATATACCCACCTATACTAAAGATCAACCATAAATAATATAAATTACCTAGTAAAAGAAAAATTATATTTAAGTAAAAATTAAATAAATTGTGTATTTTTTTCGC